CAAAATACATAAATAAATAAATTAAATTAAAAAAATATATATATATAGTAATTTTTGGCCTAGAAAACAGTGGACTGTCCTATAAAAGTCAGTTTGTTGTTCAAGCTGTCTTTATTCCTATGTTTTTTGTCCACCTGCTGAGCTGGGAGAGGAATGTCTGACATCTTAGAGTGTAATTGTGGATTTTACCATATTCCTTCGGCTCTATCATTGGTTGCTTCCTGGAATTTTATCATCTGTTGGTAAGTGCATATACCTTTAGGGTTTTTATGTCCTTTGGATAATTTTATCAAAAAAAATTTTTTTAGACCAAGTCTTATTCTGTCACTGGGGTGGACTGCAGTGGCACAATCTTGGCTCACTGCAACCTCCGCCTCCCGGGTGCAGGCAATTCTCCTGCCTCAGCCTCCTGAGTAGCTGGGATTACAGGCACGCGCCACCGTACCCAGCTAATTTTTGTACTTTTAGTAGAGACGGGGTTTCACCATGTTGACCAGGATGGTCTCGATCTGTTGACCTCGTGATCCACCCGCCTCGGCCTCCCAAAGTGCTGGGATTACAGGCTTGAGCCACCGCGCCCGGCCCTTTTTTGCCCAATCTGACAACCTTTGCCTTTTAGATGGGATGTTTAGAATGTTTACATTTAATGTGATTATTAACATGATGGGGTTTATATCTACATCTTACTATTTGTCTTTGACTCGTCTCATTTTTATTTCTCCCTCTTTCTCTGCTTTTCTTTTTGAGACAGAGTCTCGCTCTGTTGCCAGGTGCCAGGCTGGAGTGCAATGGCGCGATGTTGGCTCACCGCAACCTCTACCTCCTGGGTTCAAGCAGTTCTCCTGCCTCAGCCTCCCGAGTAGCTGGGATTACAGGCGAGAGCCACCATGCCCAGCTAATTTTTGTATTTTTTAGTAGAGATGGGGTTTCAGCATGTTGGCCAGGATGGTCTCCATCTTTTGACTTCATGATCCACCCGCCTCAGCCTCCCAAAGTGCTGGGATTACAGGCGTGAGCTCTGCGCCAGGCCTTCTCTGCTTTTTTCGGGGGTTAATTTTTAAATTCTATTTGTTTCCTTTGTTGTGTTAGCTGTAATTATTTTAATGGTTGCTTTCAGATTTATACTATACATTTTTAACTCGTCACTAACTTCCAGTGGTATCTTACAACCTCATAGATAGTCAAAGAACTCTAAGACATTACATTTCCATTTCCCTTCCAGCCATTGTCCTATTGTTACATATTTTAATTTTTCATATGATATAAATCCTACAATACATGATTTTTGCATTAGTCAGATGATTATCAAGCAGGTGGATCACCTGAGGTTAGGAGTTCAAGACCAGCCTGGCCGACATGACAAAACATTTCTACTAAAGATACAAAAATTAGCCAGGTGTGTTACTGCATGTCTGTAATCCCGGCTACTCGGGAGGGTGAGGTACAAGAACTGCTTGAACCAAGGAGGCGGAGGGTGCAGTGAGCTGAGATTATGCCACTGCACTCCAGCCTGGGAGACAGAGTGAGACTTTGTCTCAAAAAATAAAATAAAATAGATGATTATCGGCCGGGCGCGGTGGCTCAAGCCTGTAATCCCAGCACTTTGGGAGGCTGAGGTGGGTGGATCACGAGGTCAAGAGATCGAGACCATCCTGGTCAACATGGCAAAACCCCGTCTCTACTAAAAATACAAAAATTAGCTGGGCATGGTGGCGCGTGCCTGTAATCCCAGCTACTCGGGAGGCTGAGGGAGGAGAATTGCCTGAACCCAGGAGGTGGAGGTTGTGGTGAGCCAAGATCGGGCCATTGCACACTCCAGCCTGGGTAACAAGAGCGAAACTCCGTCTCAAAAAAAAAAAAAAAAATGATTATCTTTGAAAGATATTTAAATAATAAGGAAAACATTTTTGAGACAAGGTCTTGTTCTGTCACCCAGTGCTACTACACACACCTGGCTATTTATTTATTTAAGATAGTATCTCGCTCTGTCTCCCAGGCTGGAGTGCAATGGTGAAATCTCGGCTCAGCAACCTCCACCTTTCTGGTTGGAGCAACTCTCCTGCCTCAAACTCCTGAGTAGCTGGGATTACAGGCGCCTGACACCATATCCAGCTAATTTTTGTATTTTTTAGTAGAGACGGGGTTTTGCCATGTTGGACAGGCTGGTCTCAAACTCTTGATATCAAGTGATCCGCCCTCCTTAGCCTACCAAAGTGCTGGGATTGACCCGGCCCCAGGTCAATTTTGATTTTTCACATCTCTCCATAGGAGTCGTAATTTCCTGCATGTTTTCATGCTGATTTTTTTTTGAGACGGAGTCTCACTCTGTTGACAGGCTGGAGTGCAGTGGCACGATCTTGGCTCACTGCAACCTCTGCCTCCTGGGTTCAGGCAATTCTCCTGCCTCAGCCTCCTGAGTAGCTGGAACTACAGGCACGCGCCACCATGCCCAGCTAATTTTTGTATTTTTAGTAGAGACAGGGTTTCACCACATTGGCCAGGATGGTCTCGATGTCTTGACCTCATGATCCGCCTGCCTCAGCCTCCCAAAGTGCTGGGATTACAGGCGTGAACCACCGCACCCGGCCCATGCCTGGTGTTTTTTTTTTACTGGATATTCAACGTTTCATAGTCTACCTTGTTCGGAGCTGGATACTTTTCTATGCCTATAAATATCTTTGCATTTGTTTCTGGGATGTGATTAAGTTACTTGGAAACTGTGTGGTCCTTTTTTCTTTTCTTCCTTTTTTTTTTTGAGACAGGATCTCACTCTGCCACCCAGGCTGGAGTGCCGTGGTATGATCTTGGTTCACTGCTGTCTTGGCAAGCCTGGGCTCAAGTGATCCTCCCACTCAGCCTACCGAGTAGCCGGGACCACAGGCGTCACCATCACATCCAGCGACTTTTTGGATTTTTGTGGAGATGGAGTTTCGCCATGTTGCCCAGGCTACTCTCAAACTCCTGGGCTCAAGTGATCTGCCTGCCTCGGCCTCCCTAAGTGCTGGTTTGCGGGTGTGAGCCCCCACATCTGGCTGTGGGTCTTGTACTGAGTGGGGTTTGGTGGAAACTGAACTGTGTTTAGTGTTGTGATGATTCTTCCTTACTACAAGGCGATACCATCTTCCAACCTAAGGACGCTCCCGCCCCTGCTCCTGCCCCTGCTCCCTCTGGCTGCTGGACACAGGCGCTATTCCCAGCCCTGCGTGGGCTCTCATCCCGGGTGGGTCTTTCCCTGGTGTTGAGTGTTTTCTTCACACTCCTGCACTGATCTGTGCTTAGCCGAGCCTCAAGGAGCCCCTCTGTGGGTGTCTGGGCTTCTCTGCAGTACTCTGGAGCACCTTCAACTCCAGCCACCTGCTTGGCCACCTTTCTTCCCAGGTGAGGGAGACCACCGGTGGCTGCTTGAGTTCCCTTTCCCTTCTCTGTGCCTGGGCGGTGGGCGGGACAGTCCTGGCTGCCAGGTGGGTTCCCCTCTCTCCAGCACCACGTCCGCGGTTGCGCGAGCCCAGTGCCTTGCGTGGCGTTTTCACTTATCTTTGTCTGTTTCTTTGGTTGTTGCAGCTGAGAGTGTGTAAGTCCGACCCGCTACTTCACCTCACTTCTCTGCCAAGGCCCCTCCACTCCACCCGTCCCTGTCAGTCCTACACCTGCTGCCCAGATGCCGCCTCTGTGAGGCCTGCCTGGCCTGCATCTGCCGCCCCGGGGCAGCAGGACCCGTGGGGCTCACCTGGGCTGGGCAGGTGGCCACAGAGCCTGTCTCCCCGCGTCACCTCCTGAGGTCGGCTGCGGATGGGCCGAGACCCCGAGGGTGGCTGGCCCGTCCCGAGTTTCAGTTTTAAGGGGCAGGACGCGCTTGCGTCGGCCACTCCGCTCTGCGCCACCTGACCCGAAGGGCCGTGGGAGCCGGGGAGGGCCCCGTCCCTGTTCCGGGGGTGGGCGAGGGGCGGGAGGCTCCCGGGGAGCGGGTCCCGGGCCAGCCGCGGGCTGGGACGTGGCGGGCGGGACGGGGAGAGAAGGGGAGGAAAAACGCCTCGGGAGCCACCGCGCCGCCACCGCTACCGCCAGAGGGCAGCGCGTGCCCGCGAGGGAGGACCCCGGCCCCGCCCCGCCCTCTCCTCGTCCCGGCCCCGCCCTCTGCCCCGCCCCTCCCCGCCCTCTCCTCGTCCAGGCCCCGCCCTCTTCCCCGCCCCTCCCCGCCCTCTCCTCGTCCAGGCCCCGCCCTCTTCCCCGCCCACACCCCCGCCCCCGGGCCGCCCCCCGCCGTGTCCCTCCCACTGCCCGCCTGATCCCGGTGCCGGCACCTGCCCGCTCCCTGCTTCTGCTCCGCAGCCACCTTTCCGCACACCTGTCCCCTTTTCACGCACCTGTGCCCAGCAGCCCGCACACCTGTCTACTCGCCAGCGGTCCGCGAAGTTCAGCGCCGCCCTCCCTCTAGCGTGGAACCGCCCCACCCACCTGTCCGTGACCGCGGCGCCGGCCAGGAGGGCGGCAGGTGGGCCCCGGCGCTCCATGCTCCTTGTGGACAGGGCTGCGGCGGGGGCGCAGGACGTTGTGCCGCCGGGAGGACCACGCAGCGGTCCCGGGACCCTTCCCCGGGGCAGAGCGGCAGCTGCGCCACCGAGGGCAGGACGGGTGGGCAGGGTGCACCTCCACCTCCACCCGCCCTCGCGACGCCCACGCTGGCCCAGAGACAGGATTTGGGTTGGAGAACGCTGGGCTGGGAACGAGCGGCTTGGGATGGCCGGGTTGTTGGGCCTTGAGGAGTCCCAGACCCTGACAGCTGGCGCCCCCCACGCCCCGCCCAGCTCTCCTCGGCCCGGGGGACACCGGCTGCGAGGCCTCTCCAGTTTCAGTCTTCCCTGGGAGGGCTTCCCGGAAGAGAGGGCTTCTGACCCCAGAAAGAGGCTGCTCTGGGGATGGAGAAGGTGCTGGGTGCTGACCCCCGCGGAGTTAGGGGTGTGAGGCGGGAGGTGGGCAGGCCTTGGGGCTTGTGTCAAGGGGGCTTCGAGACGCGGCAGGATGCGGGGGGCCACGGGGCGGCTGGAGGGCGGCCTGGAAGCCCTGCGTGCTGGCCCCGAGCCGGGGTGTCGAGCGAGGCGCGTGGAGGAAGAGGCGCAAAGAGCGAGGCGCGCGGTGAGTCACCGGTCTTCTCCGTGCCTCCGTCTCTTCCTCTGTTCTCGGGGCCGCCTGCCCGGGAGCGGGGATTAAATCGGACGCCGGCGTCTGTTATGATGAGGAATGCCCTTGTCACTCCAGTCCCTAGCAGGTGAGAGGCGGGAGGCCTCAAGTGGGAACGTACCTGCGGCCGAGGGCACCGGGGAACCCGAGACATACCCCCCCGCCCGGGTCAGGACCTCTGCCTGCATCGCCGAGGCGGTCTCCACCATCCCAGCCCCGGCAGCTTCGCTGGGCGAGGCCAGGCTTCTCCCTTCTGCTCCCGGAGACCCCCCCCGGGGCGCGGACCTGGAGGCCTTGAAGCGCCTGGAGCCGTCCCGTTCGCCTCCTTCTGAGCAAGCAGAGAGCGGTCCAGGCCGGGAACAGGGCTGCGCAGAGGTCAGGCGGCCGCGCGCCCGGCCGGAGCCTGCCCTGGGGGTCCCGGGGATGCCCCGGGAGGTGGGTACCCAGACCCGAGCGCGCACGAGCGCAGGTGTGGGGAGGGCGCGGCGGCTCCCGGCCAGTCCTAGGGGCCTGCGGGACCCAAGGGCGCGCGGGCGGGGCCGGGAGCGCGGCGAGGCCGGGCGGGGGCGGGGCCGCGCCGGGGGAAGCCGCCCGCCCGCGGGGCCGCCTGCACCGCGAGGGTTAAGGCCAGGAGCCCGGCGGGGCGGGGCGGTGCGCGCGCGCGGATTGGGGAAAAGTTTGGCGGCGGGGCGGGGCGCGGGGCGGGCCGACGCGCGCGGATTGGCCGGAAGTTGTGCCGGGGGCGGGGCGCGCGGCGGGCTCGGCGCTCGCTCCGGGAGAGTTGACAAAGCCCCGCAGGGAAGGACGCCTCGCGGCGCGGCGCCCCGGGCCCCTCGCCCCGCCGCCCCGGGACCCCGGCCCCGGCCTCCGGCCCGCGGACTCGCCCCCCGCCGCCCGCCCGGCCCGAGACCCCGCGCCCCGAGCGCCAGAGCCCGGACCCCGACCCGGCCGGAGCCGCCCTCGCCCAGGTAGCGCCGCCCCGCCCCGAGGCCGGGCCCGGGGGCGCTGGGCGGTGGGATGCGGCGTCCGGGGCGGCGATGATCGCGGAGCGCGTGCTGCGGGCCCGGCCGTGACCCCGCTGCCCGCCCGCCGAGGTGAGCCCCCCGCGCGCGTCCGCGACCCCAGGTGGGCAGACCGGGGAGGGGCGGGGGTCCAGGGCGGGGGCGGGGCGGGTCCGGAGCCCCCGCTGCGCGGCCGCTGGGCACAGGTCACGCGCGCCGCCGCCGCCGCCGCTCCCACGGGCCCCCGGCCTGCCTCGCCCCCGCCCCCGCGCCCCACGTCCCACGTGGGCCCCCCCAGCTCAAATTTGTCCGCTAATGGCGCAGGCGATTATCTGCGGGGCGCTGGGTGTTGTGTGTCCTGCGGGCAGGGCCGGAGTTACAAGTGCCAGGAATCCAGACGGTGTTTGGAGCGGGAGGGAGGCGGGGGAGCCCGGTAATTAGTGTAAACCCTTTGTCTGCCTTTGATACCCACAGCTTCTCCCCGCAGCGGCTTCCTCCGCCTGGAGCGCGGGCGGGGAGGGCCTGTGGGGGGGGACAGACCCCTGATCCCCGAGGCCTGGGACCCGGGTGGTGGGGGCTTTGCGGCCCCGGGCCGGGCCGGAGGGCAGTATCCTCCAGTTCCGCGCCTGGGTGACTGTGCCCCCAATGCCCCCAGGTCCGGACAGGCCGAGATGACGCCGAGCCCCGCGTTGCTGCTCCTGCTGCCGCCGCTGCTGCTGGGGGCCCTCCCGCTGGCCGCCGCCGCCCGAGGTGAGTTCTGGCGCCCGGCCCGGCCAGCCTGGCCTCCGCCAGCGCCGCCCCCTTCCCGCCCGGCCCTGAACCCTGCCACAGTGCCTGCCTGGCACGCGCCGTGCCGCGCCCCTGCCGCCCCGCTCACCAAGCCCCTGGCCGTCAAGGGCCCCCCTCATCCACGGGCTGTCCACAGCACCCCCCCGCGCTCCCGCAGCTGGCTGGAGGGTCCCTCTCACCCTCTCACTCATGCCTGCTGGCCAGATGGGCTCTAGCCCTGGCCCACCAGGACATGCTCCTGGTCTTGCAAACACTTCCACACTGGTACCTGCAGTCCAGGGCAGATGGTCACCTGTGGATTCTTGGGGAGTGGACTGTTTGTGGCCACAGTGGACCCAATTAGGACTCTGGGAGCCTGCAGAGACCCCCACAGAGGCCAGGATGGGCTTTGGGAGATATTGGTGACATACTTGGTGTCCGGGACTGAAACTGACCTGCAGACCCCCAGTTCCCCAGTTCCCTAGTCCCCCAGCCAACCTAGCTGTGTTCCCTGGGCCTGACCATCCCCAGGCAGGTGGTGCAGGGTGGAGGCTGTATAGACAAGTCCCTAGGGCCGTAGGCACCCCAGGACTTCGTGCCTGTGGCCGCCCTCTGCACCATGGCCTGGTGTGTTCTCACACCTCCCACCTCCAGGTGGGCAGCCATGCCCCAGCACCCAGCCCCAGCGAGGGCATCTGGACTTGATGGGTGATGTGTGCCTGCAGACTGCCGCCCGCCATGTTCCAGGATCTGGGCACAGCGCTGGCTGCCCCCATGACTAGGCGGGACCTGTGGCCAGGCCGGCCCTTCGGGTGTATTGACCACTCAGGATTGTCCGCGCTGTGTCCAGCAGTCCTCTGAGGCTTCGCACCCCTCCCCTGCCGCCCAGCAAGTGCGCCGCATCCAACCTGGCCTTATATGGGCATGTTCGGGTGTTGGGTGGCGGGCGGCGGCCCAGGTGGGCCTTATGCCACAGCCCCCCCCCGCACCGCCTGCCCACATGGGCCTGGCTGAGCGGCTGTTCTGAGGGCCCAGCGGCGTCCTGGGCTGTGTGGGCACTCGGGCCATGCTGGGCAAGCCCCCACCATGGCCAGCGGCCTGGACTTGCATTCCCTTTGATCTGCTTGGCCTCCCCATCCCTGCACCTGCCTGTCCTCTGGCCACTCAGCCAGGGAGGCTCTGGAGGCTTCTGCCCCTAACTGGGGCTGAGGCTGACTGGTGGATGGCAGCGGTCAGCAATGGCACCGGTCAGCAGAGCCTGCCTCTTGGTGGAGACGCCCCAGCAGCCACCGCCTCCGCCTTCATCGTCCTCAGCCTTGGCCTTGGGGCCGAGGATATCCAGCCCCGACTTTTCGTGGCAAAGGCCCTGGAGGCACTGGGGAGCTGGGATTGAGCGGCTTTCCAAGGGCAAGGGCTTCTGTGGTTTGGGTGGAGGTGGGGAGGACGTTCTTCCGCACTGTGCTGACTTTTCCCCAGCCCAGCCTGGGCTCCACGAGAGGGCCTCCACGTGTGTCCCTCCCACTCTGTGAACAGGCCCAGTGTGTGCCTCCGTTAGGCCAAGGACCAGCACGCAGAGGGCCTGGGAGATTTTTGAAAGACATTTCCCGCTGTGTCGTAAGTTCTGGAATCTGCACATCGCTAGGCTGGGATCATATTTAAAAAGTTCCTCTTTCCCCAAAGTTTCACAATCTTGGTGGATTTGTCTTAGACTGCTTTTCTTTTTCCAGCTTGAAAAAAGATAGGAATTGGCTTTCTCCGTTTCCATTTCATTTCTCCCAGTGGGAACCTGCAAGGTTCTGGCTAAACTGCCTTTCACAAATAACTCTGAAGGAAGTCGTTTCAGGGCTTTCTGAGAAGTGCCACCTTTGAACTTTTGCAAGCATGGCCTTGGGGACCAGCTCTGAGCAGCCTGCCTGGAAGGCCACTCCCCTGCCCTCCGCACCCGGCCAGCTGCTGTGGGCAAGCAGAGCCCTGACCCAGGTGGGCAGGGTGCCTGTTGGGGGTGCCCATGCCTGGGGGCTGGCATGGTCAGGGTCGGTTCCCTGTGGGGGCAGGAGTCGGAGGGGCGTGTGACTGAGGGAAGGGAGAGCTGTGGGTGCACAGTGCTGACCTTGGCTGGCTCGTGTGCATCAGGCTGAGGTGGACGTGTGGGAGCTGGGCCCAGCCACTGCAAGGTGGGAAATCGGGCCAGCCGCCCCGTTTCCATCTCGGGGGCCCCACTCCTGGAAGGGAAAATAAATCACTGTCCCCTTGGGGGGAGGGAGGGAGCCGTGAACAAAGTCGCCTTTGGCTGGGCCTGGAAACACCGACCGCAGACTCCTTTATCCATTGTGCGGGAATCAATGGGCCTCCGGGCTCCCTTTCAGCCGCAGGCCCCGAGCCGGCCCCGTCGAGGGGAAATGTTGGTTTTTCCCCAGCCTCGGCCTCCAGCCCCTGGCTTGCCCAGCCTGGCTCAGGAACCGCGGCTGTGCTGGGAGAGGCGGGCTGTGCCTGCAGGCTGGACCCTGGCTGCGGCAGGCTGGCCCTCTGCAGCCCAGGCCTGCTGCTTGGTCCAAGGTGGCCTCCTTTGTCCCATCTGGACCTTCACCAGTGACTCCAGGCCTGGTGTGTCCAGGCGACAGCCTCAGCGGGTGGTCAGTACAGGAGGGAGAGGTGTGCCCGTGCCCCACATGTCCCCTCCAGGGCTGCACCCCGTGCTTGCTTGCCACTCTCCCTGGCGGCCGTCCCTGGAGCTGCTGGTCAAGCCCCAGGGTGCCTGGACTGGCTGCCCTCTGCAGGTGGCTCCAAGTTGGACCACAGCCCCAGGACCCACAATCCAGGATGGCCAGGGTAGGGTGAAGCAGGGGATGGGAGAGGAGGGGCCTCACAGGCCAGGGAAGGCCTAGCAGGAGAGGTGGGTACCAGTCCTCTTGAAGCTAGTTGGCATGGGTGGGGGTCTCGTTTCAGGATATTGTCCCTTGAGGTGGGGGGCGGGGGGGCTCTCATCTTGGCAGAAAGCCCAGCCACTTTTCTTCTTGCCTGGCACTGTTAAGGGGCTGAGGAGTGAATATTGGCCGTGCAGTGACCAGGGAGGAGGGAGCCGGGCTGCCGCACTGGTGTGCGGCGTGGGGCCCACTGGGCATGGTGACACTATCTGGGCTTCTAAGACTGTGAGCCCCAGGGTAGCCTCATGTCTCCCTGGAGAGCTCAGGTTCCTTCTCCAGGCCTACTGGCCAGTGGCTTCTGGCCTGCCCTCCACACATGCGGGAACCCTCCTGCCCTGTTCCCAGTGGGGACTGCAGAACTTGGTCTGGAGCACAGCACCACGCCCTTGACGCATCACTGTCCCTGAGGGCTGGGCGGCGGTGCCTGTGGCCTGCAGGCGCCTGGGGAGCTGCAGCCGAAGGCCCAGTGCCCTCCTGTCCCCAGCCCTGTCCTTGAGAAGTCCGCCATGTGAGTGGGAGCAAGAGCCTGTGGCCTGGCGGTAGTGCCTGGCACGCCTGGGCTGCTTAGTGGTTGGGGCAGCCCCACCTGGGGGCCAAGAGCCCCTCAGCAGGGGTCAGGGCATCTGCTAACCCCAATCTCTGGCCTCTGGGGTTCTGGGCTCAGGAAATGTTCTTGTTGACACTTCTGAAGTGGGAAAGGGTTGCCAGGGTTGGCAGGCAGAGCCCCTTGAGGGGGGTGGAGATGGAGGCCCCAAGTTCTGGGCAGGGGAGGCCTGGGGGCTGCAGCCAGACAGGCTGGGGTCTTGAGGTGGTGGTGGGGGCCGAATGAAGCCGGGGGGGGCCAGGGAGGTCTGGACTGGGGTGGGTATGGAGGCCCGGTGAGGTCTGGACTGGGAAGGATCTGGAGGGGTCCTTGCCTGCTTTAACACTGTGCGAGGTTCTCTCCGGGATATGGCACCGTCTGGTGATGCCCTGGTGCCTGCTGTGTGCCCTGGGGTGTCGAGGGGGGGGGGGCAGTGCCCTGGGGCTGGGGTTGCCGAAGGTTCTCCCTGAAGGCTTCCAGAGGAGGCCTCCCAGCCTGCTACCCTGCTGGGTGCCCAGGGCTGAGCACCGTGGTGTACCACCCATTGCAGCCAGCTTACCAGGCCACAGCCTAGGGGGCACCCACCTATGCGAGGGCCCCCAGTTCCCCTGCATATCCTGTGGGCTTGCTTCCTGAGGGCCTCCTGGCTAGCTGGTGACTGTGCCGTGGGTCTGTGCATGCGTGTGCACGTGTGCCTGAGCATCCCGGGGCTGGGGCAGAGCCTGGCCCTGGCACCTACTGGGCAGCAGGCTGTGTGGTGGTCACCTGTGCTCTGGCTCCTGGGTGTGGCCACTCTTGTTCTTGGCTTCCTGGGAGGGGACCCAGCCCTGGCCCTGACTCTGGGTGCCCCTGGGGGCCTGGCACAGCCACACAGCGGCCATCTGTGGTAGGGGCACTGTGTCTCCTCTTGGTAATGGGGGACTGTCAGCCGCAGAAAGCTCAGCACCTGGGTTGGCTCTGCACCCCCCTAGGGCCCTGGCACTGGGTGTCCTGATTCCCCTCCCCTCCCTTCTGGTCAAGGTGAGCCCCTTTATCCAGGCCACTATGCTTCTCCAGGGGGAGGGAGGGTCTGGCCACCCCCACCCCGTGGCCAGGTCCCTGAGCTGAAATTCCTCCAGCTGGAAACTCGTGGGGCCGTACAGGGGCCCCGGTGCCCAGGCAGCCTTGCTGCCCTCTGGCCCGGTTCGGCTGCCAGGCCACCCCTTGTCCAGCTCTCCATTCTGGGAGCTCAGTGTTGTCCAGTCAGGGCTGGGGTTGAGGGGCCCCACAGGGCCTGCCCCCAGCAGTCAGCTCCAACTGCCCCTCCCTCCCTGGCACACATGGATACCCCACCCCGCCGTGTTGTCAACCAGCATCTGCCTTGGCACAGTGGGTGCTCCTTCCCCAGGAAGCCCCCAGCAACTGCACTGGATCAGGAGTCCTGTCCACCCTGGGCTGGCGCTGTCGTGGGCACTGCAGAGGGACGGGCCCCACCAGCCTGGGCTGTAGAGGCATCTTGGGAGGTGCAGGGTGCACTGGAAAGTTGGTTGAGGCCGTTTCCAGCTGTTTCCTGGTCCTAGCTTGTGCCCCTCCCCCTACCCCCAACAGAGGGGTGGTGCTGCTTCATGTGTGCCCCCACCTGGGTGCACCTCTCCCTGTGCCTGGGGCTGCGTTCCTGGGGCACCAGGAACCTCCTTGCTCCCTGTGGGCACCAGGCCCCGCAGCACAGGGTGGGGAGTGCTGCATCCTCTGTACCTGCTCTGGCTGGCCCCACTGCCACGCCGTTCTCCCTACAAATGCCACCTGAGCGCCTGCTGTATGCCAGGCCTCTTGACACCATGAGCACGGGAGTGAGGCTTGGGTGTGGGTTCAGACCGTGTGGCCAGTGCAGGACCCTCTGTAAGAGACCATCGGAGCCCCGGAGAAGCTTGGGAGTGGGGGCATCGGAGGGGGGATGCCAGACGGGGGCAGGTGTGGGGAGCTGATCTGATGGCCTGTGAAGTCTGGGGGAAGGGCAGGCTGCAGGAGAGTCCTGCCTCTGTCCCTCCAACCCAGGGCCTGGTCACCTCCACCCTCCCTGGGCCCTGGGAAAGAGGAGCCTCTGTGTCTGGGGACAGCATATGTGACAGAGGGTGTGGGCAGGGTGGCCTCTGGTTGCTGCATGGTTGTGGGCTTAGCTGATGCTGTGGGAAACCCCTGCCCGTCCCCCTCCCCCAATTGTGTTTTTTACAGCTGGGTGGGGGGAGAGGAAAGAGGGTGGGGGAAGGGTTGGCAGCATCCCCCTCTTGGCCCACCACCTCTGCGTCTATTCCTCCACACCCAACAGCAGTGAGGTCCTGTCTCAGCCTCAGTTTACCCTCATGTCTGGTTCCCACATGGCCCTCGGTGTCCTGCCGGTGCTGAGGCCTCTTGGCTGTGGCCGAGTGTGTGTGTAGGGCGGGGGCTGTGCCAGAGAAGGAGGCGGGGGGTGTCCTGGCGGGTGGACGGCCCTGGGGGCTGTGGTCCGGCTCCAGTGGAGCCCTGGCACTGGCTCTCTGTGTTTCCTCCTCTGCTGCAGGGCAGGGCAGGGCAGCCAGTCTCCCCACCAGGTACCTGTGCCCTTGGGTCCTGCCTCAGTTTCCCCATAGGACATTCCTCCAGGTGGCATGGGCTTGCCTGAACACAGAGCCTGGGCCACTGTCCTGGTGCACTCAATTCCCAGGAATCTGGGGGGCCGGGCTTCCTCCTGGCAAGCCCTCCTGTGGGGGTCTTGGGCCTGCCACGGCGGGGGGTCCAGGGAGCCCAGGTGGGGGTGGGGTAGGCCTGGCGAGCGGTAGGGAAGGAGGCTGTTTGCTTTAGGATAAGGCTGGCTCCTCTGGCCTGGCTGCCTCTACCCGTGCCTATAGCATTTGGAGGCCGGCCCTGGGGTGTCCACGCCTCCAGCCGTCCAGGTCACTTGGCTCTGCACCCTTTCTTAGTGACCACAAGCGGGGGTCCTGCCTCTGGTCTGTGCGTATCATTCTGTGCCTCCCACCTGCCTGTGGAGACCCCTGCCTCCCCAAGCCTTGCTTGTGTCTGCCTGGGGCAGGGCAGGGGCTGGGGCTGGAGGTGGCCCCTCCCCGATGTGCGGCTGGGGCTTCTCAGCCTCTGAGGAGGACTCCCTCCTGGATGTGGGGGGCTGGGTCAGTGTGCCCCCTCCCCCCCAGGACAGGGCCAGGCACTTGCTCTCTTGCTCCTGCTGGGCAGTCCTGTGGGTTAACGTTCATGTCGGCCCCCCCAGTTGGAGGCCCTATGGGTGGTGGGATTTCAGGCAGCAACAGGTGCTGGTGGGGTCACCCTAGGGTGGCGCTGGGACCTGAGCAGGCTGGGAGGGGGTCAGGAGCCCATGCTGTAGGCCCTACAGCCTCTTCCTCCCCGGGAGAATTTCACCGGAGCTGCCCCCAGCCCTGATCAACTTCCAAGAGAACCACCCTGAGCCAGTGGGCTGGCAGCCCCCCACAGCCGCTGTCTCATTTCCTTTCTGGGAGCTGCAGGGAGGGAGGGAAGGAGGGGCTGCAGGACTGGGGCTCAGGGCCGGGGTGGGAGAGTTCTAAGTTGAGGGAGAGATATGAGTCAGAGATGAGACCCTCGCATGTCTTCTCAGAGGCTGGGGTGGGCCGGTGGGCCAGGGCTGGGAGGAATCCCTCTGTCCACAGCGACAGCCCCATCCCCACCCTGTATATTTCTGGTCATGGAGTGAGGAGACTCCACGTCCCCATTCCCAGTGGGTCGGATGATGCTGGTGGGGTCAGAACCCAGAGGCTCTGGGCCACAGCCCCTATGCCATCAACGCCCTTGGGAGGCCTCCAGAGAGGTGATAAGAATTCTCCATGAGGGTCCCTGTCCTCAGACTTGGGGGTCACAGTGGGAGCTGCTGCCCACTGTCTGAAGTGTCTGAAGACGTCCTTGGAAGATGCCACAGGGCCATCGCTAACTCCGTGTTGGAGAAATGCACCGCCCCAGCCCCGTCGAGATGGCTTGGAGCACTGCTGCCTCTTGGTGTCTGCATGCAGCCTGGATGCTCCCAGACAGCACTGACTGTGGTGCGGGATGGATACCATCCCCTGTGGGCTGGCAAGGGGTGCCCTGGGAACCGTGGGCGCCTGAGGCCCTTCTCAGATGTGGAGAGCAGTGGGTGGGCAGTGGTGAGGGACGGTGGGAGCTGCGGTGGCCATCATAGGGCTGCTTGGCATTGGAAGCAGCGCGTGGGGCGTTGGGGGACGCATGGCCCTCCTCTCCCAGGAGCTCCGTCCAGGTGCAGGCCTTTGGTGGGTGCCCTGAGTTTGTGAGGCCTGCGGGGTTATATTCTAGACCCTTCCTGGCTGTCTAGGCCCTGGGGCTGGTCCCACACACTCAGGGTCCTGGCCCTGGCCTCAGCCCAGAGGCACCCAGGCAGGGGATGGGGTGGGGTGGAGGCCCAGCCAGGGTGGCAGCGGGTTTCTTTCAGCCGGGGAGGGAGCGGTGGCTTAGCCTGTGACTTTGCTTCTCCATGTGGGGTGGAATGGGGCGGGTGGCCGTGTGGAGCCCCAGCCTCTGTGCTCCACTGGGTTTCACGGCAGGAGTGGGGGATGTACCAGCTGCCAGCCGGACAGGAGCCAGCAGTGCCCAGGGCCAGCCCCAGCCACTGTCTCTGCAGAGTTTTGCCCTCTGACCCTAGGGCCTTGGGGTCATGCCCCTTCAAGGCTAAGGTGTCTGGCAGGGCACAGCCCTTGGGGTGGGCAGACAGACCTGGGCAGATATGGTCCCTGAACTCAGATCTGACGCTGACAGAGAAGTGGGTGCCACACAGACTCGTCCACACGTGGCATACCACAGGTGGCTGCCCAGCTCGGTAGGGTGCAATAATGTGGGGTCGCTGCCCCGTGCCCGACCCAGCTAGGCCCTGGGCTGATGGTTGGGCAGGAGTTGGGTGAGGGGCCTGGGGCCTGTGTGGGACGCTGTACCCTCTGATCCCAGGTGGGCAGCTGCTTCCTGTGTGACCCGGAGGAGCCCCTGCCCTCCTGGCCACCAAGTGCAGCAGTTTTGCATCCTCTGGGGACCCTACTCCCCTCTCGAATCTCAAAGCACCAGCTCTGGGGCTGCGGGGCCACCTCGGCCGTGAGAGGCTGCCAACATGGTGCTTGGTGAGCTGGTGCTGGGGTCTGGTGCATGTCGGCAGCTGGGGTCGGGGTTGAAGGCAACCCAGGGGGATCTCAGGCCTGAGGTCTGTGCTGGGCCGTGGCTCCGCTCTTGGCCCCGCTCTGCTCCAGACCCTAACCCCCTCTTCACTGACTGGCCCACATGCCACCCGCAGGCCCCCCGAGGATGGCGGACAAGGTGGTCCCGCAGCAGGTGGCCCGACTGGGCCGAACCGTGCGGCTGCAGTGCCCGGTGGAGGGAGACCCGCCGCCGCTGACCATGTGGACCAAGGACGACCGCACCATCCACAGTGGCTGGAGCCGCTTCCGTGTGCTGCCCCAGGGGCTGAAGGTGAAGCAGGTGGAGCGGGAGGACGCCGGCGTGTACGTGTGCAAGGCCACCAATGGCTTCGGCAGCCTGAGCGTCAACTACACGCTCACTGTGCTGGGTCAGTTGGGGCTGTGGTGAGAGGTCAGGGGCTGGGTGAGAGGCAGGGGGGAGGAGGGCAGATGGGGACACACCTGGGGTCAGAGTCAGCCAGCCCCTCATGGAAAACCTTCCCTCGGCACCCTGCCTGGCCTCAGCTGGCTGCACTTATGCCACCACCCCGCTGCTGGGCCCCCTCCCCATCGGGCTGCAGCCCTGGGGCCTTCCTCGGCGGTGGAGGGCGGGAGGCTGGGAGGCTGGGAGCCGTATTCCGTGGTCCCACAGAAGGGCTGGGGCGAGGCCTTGGCAGGGTGTGCCGGGCGTCGGCTGTGACTTTGAGGCTCGGGTTTCGGAGTTCAGAGGGGCCGCGGGATGCATGGCCTTTCTGTTCTCTTCTGTCCCTGGGGCCCAGGCACTGGGCTCGGACAGGTGTCCTGAGACACGCCCTCCATACGTAGGGACCCCGGCACCCCGCCTGCTCTGCTGGGCTCCTGGGTGTGGGGCCCTCGGGTGGGGCTCCTGGGAGCCAGGCTGACCTGTTTCTGAACACAGGAGCCTGGCCCCAGCCCTGGCTGGGTCTGGGGGTGTGGCTTGAGACAGCCTGGCCCCTGGTCCTGGGCTCAGAGGAGGAGCGGCTGTCACAGGGTGGATGGGGGGACATTCCACAGCACGCCCTGCCCCTCGGCATTGTGTGGAATGGGAAAGCCGCGGCTGTCCCCGGCCCCACCCCACAGTCCTTTCAAGGGGGACGATGACCGGGTGGTTTGGGAGCCTTGTCTGTTCACCAGCCCTCGGCCCCTTGATGTGGGCTAGGGTTACTGCAGCTGCTAGCCGTGGCCCGGCTCCCTCCTCCCCCAAGGCCTACAGACCCCCCGGAGCCAGGGTGGGGGCCGGCCCTCCGCCCCAGCCGTGCCGTCAGGGTCACCTGTACCCAGTGTGGGCCAACGGCCCTTGCCCAGCTGTCCCTGGGATTCTGGGATGTGGGTGTGTGGCGTGGCCCCCTTCCTGGCTTTGCCAGGCTCTCCTGGCTGGGGCTGGGGGTGCCAAGGGCCATGAGGGAGTTGGGGGGCTCTTCAGGGTCACCTGCCTCCCTCACCTGCCCTCCCTGTGTACCTCCATTTCTCTGCAGATGATGCTCGCCCAGGGAAGGAGAGCCTGGGGCCTGACGGCTCCTCTGGGGGCCAAGAGGACCCCGCCAGCCAGCAGTGGGGTGAGCAGGGGCCACCGTCTGCCAGGGGTGGGGGCGTCTGTCCGTCCTGGCCCCTCAGACGCTTCCCTGTCCTCTGACCTCGACGCCACCCCACCCCACAGCACGGCCCCGCTTCACGCAGCCCTCCAAGATGAGGCGCCGGGTGATCGCACGGCCTGTGGGCAGCTCTCTGCGGCTCAAGTGCGTGGCCAGTGGGCACCCTCGGCCCGATATCACGTGGATGAAGGATGACCAGGCCTTGGCGCGCCCAGAGGCCAGCGAGCCCAGGAAGAAGAAGTGGACGCTGAGCCTGAAGAACCTGCGGCCGGAGGACAGCGGCAAATACACCTGCCGAGTGTCAAACCGCGTGGGCGCCATCAACGCCACCTACAAGGTGGATGTGATCCGTGAGTGTGGCCCAGGGCACTGGGGGGGTCTGGGGGGCCAGGGGTGTTGGTGGGGCCTGGGGGGCTGGCCGGCCAGGGGTGTTGGTGGGGCCTGGGGGGCTGGTGGGTCAGGGGTATTGGGGGGGCCTGGGGGTCTGCCTGGAAGGGCACTGGGGGGCCCTAGGGGGCCAGTGGTCAGGGACTGGCAGGGCATGGGGTGCTGGTGGGGCCTTGGGTGCTGGTAGGGCCTTGGGTGCTGGTGGGCAGGGCCTGGGGGGGCTGGCAGAGCCTGGAGAGCTCTTGGTGTAGAATCTAGTGGCGCCTGGGAGCCTCGCCCACATGCCACATTCTTGCAGAGCGGACCCGCTCCAAGCCCGTGCTCGCCGGCACGCACCCTGTGAACACGACGGTGGACTTTGGGGGGACCACGTCCTTACAGTGCAAGGTGCGCAGTGATGTGAAGCCCGTGATCCAGTGGCTGAAGCGGGTGGAGTACGGTGCCGAGGGCCGCCACAACTCTACCATCGACGTGGGCGGTCAGAAGTTTGTGGTGCTGCCCGCGGCTGACGTGTGGTCGAGGCCTGATGGCTCCTACCTCAACAAGCTGCTCATTTCCCGCGCACGCCCAGATGATGCGGGCATGTACATCTGCCTCGGCGCCAACACCATGGGCTACAGCTTCCGCAGCGCCTTCCTCACTGTTCTGCCAGGTGTGTGGCTGCCGCCAGGGCCCACCCCACCCCCCAGGCCCAGCATCCCACCCACTGGGCGGGTCCACCCTCCCTCCCTTCCTCTCTCCTTCCCTCCCTCCCTCCCTCCCTCCTTCCCTCCCTGGGCTGTGCAGGCTGGGTCATCTGCTGGCCAAGGGACACCATCTCCACAGCCCCCGGGATGGGTCTGGGGCACTCTCCTGGTCCTTGTGCTGGCATTCTCCTTCCCACATCCTTTCCTCTCGCTCTTGCAGACCCAAAACCACCAGGGCCACCTGTGGCCTCCTCGTCCTCAGCCACTAGCCTCCCGTGGCCTGTGGTCATCGGCATCCCGGCCGGCGCCGTCTTCATCCTGGGCACCGTGGTCCTGTGGCTCTGCCAGGCCAAGAAGAAGCCGTGCACGCCTGCTCCTGCGCCTCCCGTGCCGGGGCACCGCCCACTGGGGATGGCCCGTGACCGTGGTGGGGACAAAGACCTTCCCGTGTTGGCTGCCCTCGGTGCTGGCCCTGGTGTGGGGCTGTGTGAGGAGCATGGGTCTCTGGCAGCCCCCCAGCACCTGCTGGGCCCAGGCCTGGTTGCTGGCCCTAAATTGTACCCCAAACTCTACACGGACATCCACACGCACACACACACACACTCACACACACACTCACATGTGGAGGGCAAGGTCCACCAGCACATCCACTATCAGTGCTAGATGGTGCCGCCTCTGTGGTGGGCACATGGCACCGGCCAGACAGGCAGGCTGGGAGGATGGAGGACGGGGCAGCAGACAAAGAGGGGGAACCCACGGCGAGAAGGCATGGCCAGCAACCTGGGGCACCCAGTGTAAAGCATAGCCCCTGGACACACACAGACACAGACAAGCTGCCTAGACATCTGTATACACACGTGCACACACGGAGACATGCCTAAACCACACTCAGAAATATGCTGCCCTAACACACATGCACACAGACATGCCCGAACACATGCGCACACAGATATGCCTGAACATACACAGAGATATGCCTAAACACATACAGACATGCCTGAACACGCACACATGACATGCCCGAACATGCACACACATAGACATTCCTGAACACACAGACATGCCCGAACACATGCATGCACACAGACATGCCTGAACACACCCAGACATGCCTGAACACACACATGCACACAGATATGCCTGACCACACACAGACATGCCTGAACACACGCAGACATGCCCGAACACACACATGCACACAGATATGCCTGAACACACATAGACATGCCTGAACACAGAGACATGCCTGAACACACACATGCACACAGATATGCCTGAACACACACAGACATGCCTGAACACATGCAGACATGCCTGAACACGCATGCACACACATGCCTGAACACAGACATGCCCGAACACACCCAGACATGCCTGAACGCACACATGCACACAGATATGCCTGAACACACAAACATGCCTGAACACACACAGACGTGCCTGAACACATGCAGACATGCCCGAACACACACACACAGAACTACCTGAGCACACAGACATGCCTGAACACACACATGCCCGAACACATGCAGACATGCCCGAACACACACAGACATGCCTGAACACACACAGACATGCCCGAACACACGCATGCACACAGACATGCCTGAACACACACATGCACACAGATATGCCTGAACACACAAACATGCCTGAACACACACAGACGTGCCCGAACACATGCAGACATGCCCGAACACACACACACAGAACTACCTGAGCACACAGACATGCCTGAACACACACATGCCCGAACACATGCAGACATGCCCGAACACGCACACACATAGACATGCCTGAACACACACAGAAATGCCCAAACACACACACACAGACATGTCTAAACGTGCAGACATATCTGAACACAGACAAGCCTGAACATGCACACACAGACATACCCAAACAGGCACAGACATGCCCGAACACACACAAACATGCACACACACAGACATGCCTGAACATGCAGAGACATACTCGAACACACAGGGACATGTCTGAACATACATGCCTGAACACACACACGGACATGCCCAGACGCGTGCACATTCAGACATGCCAGAACATGTATGGACATGCCTGAACACACACTGCTTGGACATAGGCACACAAAGACGCACTCCCTGAACACATATGCACCCACACACCTGCAGCTATGCGGCCTGGACACACACATGGACTGGGCCGCCGTCAGGGAGGCGTGCGGTGTGTGTGCAGTGAGCGCTACATGATGAAGGACTCTCCCTGCCCCACTGTCACTCCCCCACCCCTGCCTGCCTGTGCCTCTGCCTGGCCTTGGTGGCTATTTTTGCCACCTGCCCTGGGGTGTCCAGGAGTCCCCTACTGCCATGGCTGGGGGCACAGTAGCCCCAGGCCTGACAGGCTGAAGCCCATGGCAGGTGGCTCACCCCTACCACATTCTCCCCCTGCCAGGGAGAAGGGGCCTTGGTATTTATATTTAAGAAATGAAGAGAATATTAATAATCATGGAAGGAGGGCTGAGGTGCAGGGACTGTGGTCTCTCCTGGGGCTCAGCACCCTCCTGGCCTTTCAGCCAGGCTGATGCCCACACCCCTTCTGGGCCAGGCACCACCCCCAACCCCGCTGTCCTGGTGGTCCCGGACCTCTGTAATTTTATATAGACTTTGAGCTGCAACCCCATATATTTAATTTATTTTGTTAAACATGAAAGCACATCCTTGCCCTCTAGGCTGGTGTCTCTGCCCCGTCTACATGTGTGTGCTCACGTGTGCATGTTCACATGTGCCTGCGTGTCCAGCCTGGTCTCCAGAACCAGCAACCTGACCCTCCCCTTGCTGGGCCAGAGCCATAGGGACTGGGACCTGGGGGTCTCCACACCTGTCATCAGCACCTCCCACGGGAGAGCTTGTGTTTGCTGGGCCTCAGGTGGTGGTGGGTGTGAGTCCTGCCCACGTGCCTGGCCAGGCCGGCGTCCTGCAGCTCTGGCTGAGTGCCGCCCTTTCTCCATCCTGGGGTCACCCTCTGGCCCTCAGTGCAGGGCCTGGGCTCTCTCAATCCCTTCTCAGGCTTTGGTGGGTGGCCGAGGGGAGATACAGGCCTCTGAGAGCCGAGGTGGGGCCAAGCTCAGGTCACCTCTGACCTCAGGGCTCGATCCAAGTGCCCTCCCAGCCACCGAGGTGCTTGACGGTGGTCACTCCCAGCTTTCCCGGTCAGTAGGAAGGGTCGGGGCTGCCAGCTCCACCCAGGGCCCCTGCCTGGCTGGGGGCTCCATTGGCCTTATAAGAAAAGGCACCGAGGCCTCTCATGTTCAGCAGAGCGTGAGGCCCAGCGCGTCCCTGGAGCCTCGTCTTACTGCCGTGCCGGGCACTTCCTGGCCCGTGCTGGTTCCGAGAGCTTTTCCCTGGAGGCAGCTCGCCCTGCCTGGCTTCGAAGGTGACAGATGGGCTCTTGGGAGAAGTGTCGGGCACCTTCCCCATCTGGGGCTTCTGAGGACCCCATGGCCTTCAAGATGTCCCTTTCCTGTCCTCTGCCTCCCCATGGTGGATCCTACTCCTGTCCCCTGAGGGAATTTGTGACTCCATGGGCAGGGACAGCCGATGGGTGTTGTGGGAGGCCTGGCCACCCTGACCGGGGGCGGTGGGTGGGTGCTGTGGGAGCCTGGCCACCCTGACCGGGGGTGGTGGGTGGGTGCTGTGGGAGCCTGGCCACCCTGACCGGGGGTGGTGGGTGGGTGCTGTGGGAGCCTGGCCACCCTGACCCGGGCGGTGGGTGAGTGTGTGGGAGCCAGGCCACTCTGACTGGGGGCAGTGGGGGGCTCCAGGCGGCCCACAGCTGGCAGCCAAACAGATGTTCCCCAGACAGGACAGGCTGCCGGCCGACGCCTGGTCGGGTTTCAGTCTGGAGTGGGGGAGGGTGGAAGGGAGACCTCAGGCAGCTAACGACCTTGGACAGCGGGGAGGCCTCCAGCCATTGGTGGGTCGCAGGGAACAAGCTGCCCCTGCTCCCAGGGAGTATGTGGAGGGATGGGCTGTGCCCTAGAGCCTCTGAGACCGCAGACCTTGTGCTTGCCCTCTGCCTGGTCTGAGATCCAGGCCACCCTACACCTGTGGGCCAGCCTGTCTTGCACCTGCCCAGGGGAGGTAGTGACTGATGCAGTGGGGTCCTCAACGGACAGGCCAGGCCTGGCCCAACCCCCGCTGGGTCCTGGGCTCTCAGGAGGCCAGTCTGGGCCCTGGACTTTGTTATGCTGTGACCATGTTGGACGCCAGGCTGGGCAGGGGGGCCCTGAGGAATTAGAACAGATCCTGCCCATGGGGCCCTGGCCACTGCCGGGGCCAATAGCCTGGAGCTCAGACCCCTCAGTCTTTCCCAAGCCCTCCTCAGGGGCTGACTAGAGCCCCTGCTTTCTCCCCTGTGACTTCTAGACCCTTCTCCCCTGGCTGTCCAGCCCCCTGTGAGCCTGGCACCCACCCCACGCCCCTCTGTTCCCAAGGTCTCTAGCCCAAGCCTGCCAGGACCCTGCCCGTGGACGCCTGTTCCTGGCTGGCTGTTGTCTGGTGCTGCCCTGTGGACGCCTGTGGCTGTGGCTCCCATCTCCCCGTGGCCCCATGGCTGCCCCAATGCTGTTTCCAGCATCTCCGTCATAGAAGTACATGTCAGTGCCCTGCACCGGCTCCCTTGTGGCGTCTGCATCTCCACACTCCTGAGAACAGAATCGCATTCCCCTCCCCTCTGAGCTGGGAGCTCAGAGGCCACGAGTGCTTCAAGGACCAGAGGCAGGAGGCGGGCGGAGGTGCCCGGGGCGGGAGTGTGGCTAGCAGGGCAGAGGACAGGCTGAGTGCCTGAAGGATGGGCGCTCTGCATCTGAGGCTCACTGGCCGGGAGGCTTGAAGAGCTGGGTGGGGCCTATGGGAGGTGGGGGTGCCACTCTGGGGGCCCCGATCTCACCTGTTCTGCACTGGTCACTTGCACACCATTGCACGATGGGGGCTCCAGGCCCAGGGAGAGACCAACACACACACACTCGCACACACACACGCGTGCACACACACGTTGGGAGGCTCCTCCAGCCGGCAGGCCTCTGGGCAACACCCTGGCAGGGATGGGACTGGGTCTGGGAGCCTGAGGGGCGGGGCAGCTGAGGGGGCCCATGGAGAAAGGAGAAGCCCTCTCACTAGGGAGGGGCCGCACCTGGTGCTTCCTGGCCCCTCCATTGTCACCCTTCACATGGGCAATACGAGGTCCCGTGCCCTTGGCCACCACAGGAAGGTCATGGCACAGGCAGTGCTACAAGGATGGGGATGGGCACAAGTCCCCAGCTCTGTCCTGGGCTCCTGGGGGTGCGGGTTGCGGGGGGAGCCCAGCCTTTGGGGTTGCAGTCCTGGAGTCAGAGGAGGGCCCCAGCTGTGTCATCAGGGCAACCCCCAGGCCAGGCCCTTTGAGAAGGAGACGGTGGTGCCCAGGGGAGGCTTGGCAGGGCGGGGCGGGGCGTGGGCATGGGGCCAGGCCCACGGTCCTCCCTGGCCCTATCCCGGCGGTGATAAGCTGCTTCCCTGTGAAGCCCGGTGAACTTGAAAGGGTGGTGCAGGCTGTAACACCCCGGGTGTGACCCACCCCTGCCCAGCCCTCGTGGCTTCAAAGGGGTGCCTGCGAGCCGCCTGCAGCTGTCCTGGGGTTGCCTGAGCCCGTTGCCAGGGACAGGGTGGCAGTACGAGGCAGAGATGGGGAGGATGTGGGCAGCCCCACCCTGGGCCTGTGGATTGGAGGACTGTGTCGGAGGACTTGGCGGGAGATCACAGCCTTGTCCCAGGCCTGGGCTGGGGGCAGAGGGACAGGGTTGGGAATGTGGGACAAAGGACACAGTCGGGGGTCACAGCTGGGGACAGGGTGCAGGCCGTGTGCTTGGGGTGCAGGACGGGACTCCCTACATGGCAGATATCTGGCCCTGGGTGGTGGGGCTCCAGGACGAAGGGGTCAGCTGAGCTGCTCTGAGCCTCCCTGGGGCACTGTGTGGGCCTGGGACCTGCCCTGGGGCTGGGGTGGGGCTAGAGGCCCCCAGGATTTGAACATGGGAGTTCCTCCTGGAGGCAGAGGCAGGGAGGCCACAGGGCCAGGTGTGTGGGGCGCTGGGCTCCTCAGGCTGGGCTGGGACATGGGGAGTCCTATGGCTGGAGCTGGCTTTCGGTCGAAGCTTCCAGATGTCCTGGGGACAAGAGCGCCCAGCGGAGCCACGCTGGAAGAGGCTGGGGTTGGGGCGCAGCGGGCGGTGTCTGGTGGTCTCGGGCTGTGTCCTGTGCTGGTCTCATGGTGTGCTAGGCCCAGGTGACTGGGGATGCTGGGGACGCTGGGGAAGGGGCTCTCCTTGGGGCTGGTGGGCCTCGTGGAGCCTGGAGCTCAGCCATGCGGGACCCAGGACTGTGCTCGAGGGCTCCGGGGTGCTGATGATTAATTTTAGGCTTGCGTTTCTGTGCCTGAGGAAACCTCCCTGAGAGCACTGTCTCTGCCCGGAGGGTCCAAACTGGCCACTGTTGCCGCCTCCGCTGGGCCTGTCCCTGCCCTGCCTCCTGCCTTGGGAGGAGCGTGGCCAGCGAGGGTGGGCAGGTGGGCCTCCCTGGAAGGCCCCACTGTGCCAGCAGCTTTGTGCTGGGCCTGAGTGGGTGTGGCCAGGGCTGGGGCACCCTGTGGTCTCCTGAAGCAGAGGCGGTCTCCACCCCAAGGGACGTTTCCCAGGCCCGACTGCACTCTTGGGTGGGAGCCCAGGCAGGTCTAGGGTCTGGTCCCACCTCTGGCCTTGTGACCCAGGCTGGTCTCAACACATCTCTTACCCAGCAAAGCCTGCCCCTCTCCTGGGGAGCACGTGAAGGGAGCACCTCCAGTGCTAACTGGAGGGCCCTGTCAACCTGCAGACCCACACTCTCGCCACACAGGCTGGCCAGGGCCCCAACCCCCACCAGGTGTCCAGGTGGCCTCCTTGTGACCTGGGCCAGGGCCCTGCTGGGGCTGGTCCTCCTGGTCACTGACCAGATGCAGCCCCTCAGGAGTCCTGACCCCATGGTGGCTCTGTTCTCAAGCACCAGCTCCCCCGCTAGAGCCCAACTGGGGCAGAGAGAGAGGTCCTCCTCCTAACTCAGGCCCTCCAGGGGACCCCAGCTCTCTTCAGTCCTTGCCTGGGCTCCAAAACCCTCAGACCTGGGTTCCTGGGCCTGGGGGCCTGTGCTGGGGCCACCCATTCAGGCGGTTCCCTTCAGTGACAGGAGGAGAAGGAGGGGCTGGGGTCCCCAGAACAGCTGCCAGGTTCTGAAGCTTCCTTACCCCCAAGGCAAGGTGCTGGGATGGCTGGGCTTGGCACGCAGCATCCAACATCTGTGGGGAGACTGCTCGCCCGGGGGTCAAGAGGTGACCTCTCTGGCCCCCTCACCCTGAACTGCAGCCTGGGTCCCCAGCAGGACCTCTCCCTGGGAGCCGAATCCAAGGGTGGATTCCCATCTTCTGGGAAGGTGAGTCCCGGGTGCAGTGAGGCTAGGGCGGGGCACTCTGGGTGGCTCCTGCAGCCCGAGAGGTGGGCACCCAGGGTGCCCGCGACATCCAGCCCTGCAGGATTCTGTGACAGAACCGGGTCCAGCCTGTCTGTCCTCCCGTGCCGGCGTGTGGACGGCAGCAGAAACTCCCCGGTGTCCAGAAGGACGACCGGACTTGCGCGGTGGCCAGAGTGCCATTTTATTCTCTTC